AAGACTACGGAGGGATAGGGTCTGCAAAATGAGTTTGTGTGTGTACTGTATATATATATATATATATGCTATATGCTGTGAACGTTCCACTTCCTGCCTGCCCGACCTTAGGTTACGGCTGCGCCGCATCAAAAATAGGATTCATCCTAATTTTAGAGGAGCCCTGCGCCGAGGCGCTTCTGGGACGCTTCTGTGACGCTTCTGAGCCGTAACACGCCGCGTGTGGTGCAATAGCACCCATTGACTAGAGTGGCCGCGATCGCGGTGAGCACTGCGGCGCACCGCGGCAACGCTTCTGCCCATTCACTTTGAATGGGGTGACGTCACGATTCGCCGAACTGCATTGTGGGAGCAAAGCGTAGCTTCTCTCGCGGTGCTCGCTGCAAAAGTAGAGCAATGTTCTACTTTTGCGGCCTCGACGGAGGCGTCAGCCAATCGAATCATATGCCAGTACAAGCTCTAGCCAATCAAACCGCGTGATTGTGTGTCTGGGGCGGGAGATTCACAGTAGAGATTCATTTCGTGGCATCTGCAGGCAGTGGCAAGTACTTCCGGCATATGCCACCGATGCCACAACTTGCCGAGGCATCTACCGCTGCTCAACGGGAGTTGCCACAAGATGCCAGAGTAAGGGAACGTTTACGGTAGCTGCCACTCGCCTTCTGTGGCAAATGCTGCTATTTAAACCCGTTTACGATGAGTCACCTAAGTCGAACGTTACCTTCGTTTTTGTGGGTTCATTTCTTTGTATCTCGTAACATACCATTGTATTGTCTAAGTCCTGATATGACGTCGTTTACCATCTCAAAGTCAGCCAGTCTGTGTGAAGTCCCCCAATCTTAGTATTTCTGGTCGGAGGGAAAAGTAGAAAAAGAGACAAAAACTGTGGGTGGTAGTGTAGCAGATAAAGAAAGAGAGACCGACGTCTATCATCTATGGTTATGTTGAGCATAGAAGGGGAAGTAGTCACGGGTTTTCATCTAACAAGTAGTGGGTTTCACTGGTCGGAGACTCAAGTTAGGCGCTCGTGGGTACCGCGCCATAAGTCGAGAGAATATCTCAGTTTTCCATTCTTAGTACCGATCTACAAATAGTCTCTATCAAATGTTGGGAAAGTGTGGAGAATGGTGTCCGATCGAGATCCCGTCCGCAGCTAGATAGACTGCACACACATGACGCTATTACACGGATAACAAGTAACTCAGTCTACAGAGGCCAAACTATCTAGGCTACTTAGAAGTGGTTGATGAGCAAGGTGGGGGAGCATCGTCAGGGTGGCCCAGGCAGAAGATCGGCCGCGCACATTGCTGACCGCGCGGTCGCCATAAGAACTAAGCGCCCGCGTGGGTGACTCTGAGGCCGCAGCGTATGGGCATTTTTGGGTCTGAGTAGTAAAGCATCTACGAGCCACCAACGAACAAGGAAGTGAAAATAAAAATATCGCGCAAAGTCTTCGCCTCGCATGGAAACCCCGTATAAAATGGGACCTAGATAACCCTCGCTCTTTGGATAGCAACTCACCGTTCCGTACCATAGTATTCCCAGACTCTCATTCAGCTATCTAATCCTCATTAATTATAAGGGTCCAGGTCTGAGATGTTGTGGATGTTGACTGCAAACTCACAAAGCCGTAACTGCAATCCTTTACATTTTTAGTTACATATATATTACCCTCCGCGCTCCCGCTCGCTATTATTTACATCAAAATCAGAAATAAGACTTTGATGGAATATGTAGATGGCCAATCGTAAATCGTACACCACCGATTATATGCTAAAAGGATTTCTCCACTTAAAATCATCGCTTTACTATACCCTCACACACGTTTGGCTTGATGACTAATTGTGATGTGTGATATCTACAGCTCTTGATGGTACGACTTATAATTTACTTCCATGTCAAATAAACAAAACTTATTGTAATAACAAATGTCTGCTCTCATCAGTACTATTGTAGGCCTTATTGCCTTTGTGATTGCATCGAGCTTTTCATAAAAAATCTACATATCTAATGTCGCAAAATGCTTACACAATGTACTTTTCACTACTTTCTCTTATACTCCTCTTTTCCGCACAATCGTATATATCTTACACTTTTCTTGGGGTTAGGAGACAATTTACGTTGTTGCCTGTAACCTCTGCTCCGCTCGGGCCGACCGCCCCTCCGCGTCGTCTCCTAATATATTGTCGTGGCCTCCTCTTCTAGCCGGAGAACAGAAGGGATTGCTCTCGGTTACCGTATGTGTCGACAAACAGGACTGTCTAGTAGGTACCTTTGGCGGAACCACTGCTGTCTGTGGCGCGTAACGAAACAGTATTTAATCAGGGAAGGATGAACTTTCTGATGCCCTCCCTGTTAACTTTGAAAGTGTCTCTGACCAGACGTTTTACTAAAACACATGAGGTAAACTATGGATAAATTTCGAAGAGAGAGACTTGCCCTCTATTTGCTTGTGTCAAATTGTTAGACGTTGCTTGGAGACTTAGAGCTCTCTGCGTTCCTGCGTAAAGTGCACCGTCAGTACGTCCGTCGACCGTTCATACTGCGTGAAGGCCGCGGCTGATCCTGCCGAAGGCCGACGGTGTCTCCAGTTTTATCGCTAAGTAAGGGTGATATCTCCTCGTGAGGACACCATAGACCGCCGTTCATGAACGCAAGAGGCCGTATCAGCGGAAGTACCTACGGTTGTTCGGACGGAGACTCCTGGTCGAGACGTCGTGCGGCGCCCACGTATCGTGGGTAACTATTGCCCGGGTGCCTACGGTCGTTTCTCCGGGTCCTCTCATGCTCTTCCAAATGACCATCGTGACGTGACGCGGAACTGGCGCCGGTCGTTCTGCAACGGAGTCTTGGTAAATTTCGGTGGCATAAATAGCATCATCTTCACAGTCGATCACAGTAAGCTATACCTGACGTGACTGTTAGATCAGATATAACATAAGCCATCCGTTGTCGCAGTCGCCTGCGACTACATTCCACGACGCCGACGTGTCCCATATCCTGTCAACATTAGAACGCCGGAGCTGCCTCCGCGTTCGGTTAGCTTGTATGTCATGTCGCTGTTTGGCCGCAATGCATTCTCTCTCGTCACTTACATCTTTTCTCATTATGTCCATCCGACTGACATAAAGGTCGTCATCGCTAACTATGTAAGCAAGTCTCGTTCTAGTGATTCAGTCACTCACTGTTCCAATTAAAGCCATTTTGACGTCACCGTATATAGGTTGTAAACCTTATGAATAACCTTAAATAACCACTACCGGTGTTGCAACAGGGAGTTGTTTCTGTACACGTTATAAGTAATGGCGCCACGAGTTGCCTCCGTGCTTTCTTACACACGTGTCCGCGTCGCGTTGCCACATGACACTGACGCGGTGGGCGGGGGCGTGAGCGGCGTACGTCTACCTCTCTCTATACGCGAATAAATTATATTTGGATGCACTTTCATATGCACTTTGCCTCTACCGAAGCTATTTTGCACGTTCTATTGCAAATACACATTCGTAAGAATTAACAGTCTTGTACTGAACTGCTCGAAATACGTGTATTTGCCCTATTATTAGCTTTTCACTTCTCCCTGTGACGACGACTACTTCCGCACGCTAGCCCTAAAAGTTTTCTAATGTAATAGTCAAGTATTTATTGACAGGAAACTACCAACGGATTATATATTTGTTGTTCACGATTATATGGAACTCGTAGGTGATCGATCCCCGACCCAGCTTTGCCGTATAGGTCTAATGAACGTTACGCCGGGATGATTGATCAGACATCCGCGTTGCCCAGATTATTGTGGTCACATGGTGTAACCGACACAGTTATGTCTATAAATAAACAATTAATAACAGAAATGATCAGTATTATGTTGGACCAAATAGCATCGTTCGTCACCTTTGAGGGGAGTTCATATCGCTGTTAACGGTTTTCCCGCAACGCGTTGGGAGTGAGCGGTTATAAAGTAGTATTTATATCGTGCAAACCAAATAAAAATCGGTTTGTACCGAAGGTTCATTTTAACCTTATATTTCTATTACATTAGAAAAACTTTTATATCTCTAGCGTGTAGGCAGGACACATGTCTAGTCACAGCTATTTCAGTACGGATTTTGTCGCGTAAAATGTGCTATTTATGCCCAAATTTATCGTCGTAAACGGTGTTCTTGCCCGCTGCACCGTCGCATGGCATTTGCACGGAATGAGACCGTAGAACACGTTGAGGGCAACTCGTTCGCCATCTACGGAGCCGTCACACACGTAGCCACCGTATTACGGCCTTCATGAACGGTGACGGACGTCTACGGTGCTTTACTTAGCAGATGACACTAGGGCGGGTCTGTGTGTTAGTGCGCCAAACTACCCATCTCGAACAGAACCGTATACTAAAGCTACCGACTGCGGAGGCAGCTCCGGCGTTTTCATCTTGTAACGAGATGAAAACGTCGCTCGTGGCGGCTCTCTTCGATGCGAAACGAGGGTGTTACGTCAAGCCGCTTAGCACTGCAGTGGGGGGGGGGTAAAGTTTTTTCACTTACCCGTCTTCGCAACGGCGCCACGCGGCGTCACGAGTGGGCGCTAGCGCCGGTGAGATCCAGTTACCACGATAACGGTGGTGTGCGCCGCACAATGCCGAGTCTCGCAGTGTCTTCGCAGGGTCTTCGCGGAGCCGCGTCCCGAGAGATTTTAATCCTACCTTAGGATAAAAACTACGCCGCGTCGGCATTGGATTCCAGCCCGTCCCGTCCTTCACCTTGCAGTGTCGTATACATCGTATATATAATGNTTACAAAACAAATTAAAAGACTTTTTAGGAATACATACAGTAAAAACACATATATAATGGCATTTTACAACAGGCATTACAAAGCAAAGGTCACCTCCAAAGGTGACCTTTGCTTTGTAATGCCTGTTGTAAAATGCCATTATATATGTGTTTTTACTGTATGTATTCCTAAAAAGTCTTTTAATTTGTTTTGTAAAGCACTTTGAATTGTCGCGTTCAGAAAAGTGCTATATAAATAAACTTGCCTTGCCTTGCAGCCAAACTTGACAGGCTCTTCTCTGTCATTGTAGACAGCAAATACCTCATTCCTTCCGTCTACTTGGATCCGAAATGCTTCTCGTTTTGCGCTGTCCCCCGTTCAAATGAAATCGCCGCCAATCATATTTCCAGGCTCGCGCCAGGGCCGGGGGAGGGGTTACAAGGCTTGCGTCTTGTGCTGCATTCACTTGCACTCGGACATTAGAGATTTTCTCTCATAAATGTCCGACGAGCCACAACTTTTGTTTCAAAACAAAGCTGCCAACTGGGGTGGCAACTAGGGTGGCAAGGCATTTTTCTGAGGTGGCAGCTGCCACCCCGTGCTACCCCGTAGATCCGCCACTGTTTCCCTGTGATTGCCTCTATGAGTCTGGCTGGCAGAAATTGTGGAAATCCTCTGACTTACCGGCAAGAGTACAGACACACACACACACACTCAGATAATGGCTATTTTTTCATCTGGGTAGCAAGAGACAAGCATATCTTCTGGTACTATCATCTCCTCTGATTACATCTTAAAATCAGCGATAAGATAAGATGTACTGTGATTTCTCAAAGAAAATGTTCAAGGGTTGGTGGCTAAACTATTGTAATCACACATACACCAACATTTGAGTTAGCTGTACTGTTCCTTTCAGCTGGAAGGAGGGTTTAGCATTGTTCAGCTCATTGTTTAGTTTTTTTAATTGTACTGTTTGCTTCAGTCCTGAACCTCTTCAGGAAGATGTTTTCGTTAAAAAAAATCTAAACAAAACTTTGTGGCTGATGAAGCCACAAAGTTTGCAACTGACAGAGATTGCATTGAGCAGAAAGATATTCTTTTAGGTGGTGGAGACCAAAAGAGCAAAACGAAGAGTAAACATAGGGTTTGCATTTGTCTGTTGAGCAGACCAATGATTCAAGATGAATGTTAGGGTGCATTCACACCTGCCTTGTATAGTCCGGTTGAATCGAACCCTGGTGCATTTAGCCGCTTGGTGCGGTTCATTTGGGTTGGTGTGAACACAATCCGAGACCTCTTAAGTGAACTAAACAACCGGACTCTAGTCCGCTAAAATAGGTGGTCTCGGAGGCTTGCTTGCGATCTCTGGAGCGNCTTTTACCACTAGTTCGGCGCTGGCAGGCCCCGTATTCAATAAGTCGCGCTGAAAAATGGAGGTAAACACGGGTGCTGCCAAATGCTCCAAAACACGTCCGACATTCTTATGTATGCAGTACTTCAACGAATGGTGTACCAACTCCACTAGTGAGTGTCAGTGTGTACAGCTGTAGCTGAAGTACAACAAAATACATCTGCTTAATGCGCAACCATCTGAAGATGAAAACACCGGCTGGCGACAGCTAGCACTAGCCAGTAATCCTAGCACCAGGTGCCAGCAACGGACCGGCGTCAGCACTGAGACAGAGGCAGACGAGCCACAAGAAAACACGGGGTTCAACAGGTGATGCCGGTCATGATGAGCCTACGGGATTACTGCCAGCGACACCGCAGTTATCCCCACAATGGATAACCACTGGGGAGGTGAGGTGGGCAGAAAACGTGCACCGCTTCCCCGCTTTCTTTCAGGAGCCTACACTGGCTTATTCCAGCCACAAGCCCACCCGGAGGGTGAGAGCGGTTTTTTCCCTGGCCAGGCCCAACACTTGTCACCCGAAAAGCGCGTCAAGGCTCCTTCCCGTCACATGTTGATGCGTTGGTGTCAACCAAAAATATTGGGTATTAAGGTTGCGGGACGTGTATCGTGGAGGACAGCGAATAAAGTGTTGCGCAATGCGCTGTTGCGCACTGGATTTACGTGGCATTTATGTAAACAAGAGTTTTTAAAAATAAATATCTCAACCCTTAGTATATGACGTACAATGTGTTGGAGCGCAAGCCAAGCACGAATGTAACATAGTGACATCACCATGTTACGGGAAGTGTGGGAGAGAAACTCCTTCTGGAGGGAACTTTGTGATTTTAGCCTTTGCAGACCATTGACATGCACTAAAACCTATAGAACACTGTAAATGAAGGGGAAAACCCCAAAAAGCATGATAGGGACTGGGTGGTTTTAATGCAGAACAGGCTTTGACGGTGCGTACACACCTGCCTTGTATAGTCCGGCTGAATTGAACCCTGGTGCGTTTCGCCGCTTGGTGCGGCTCATTTGGGTTGGTGTGAACACAATCCGAGACCTCTTAAGTGAACTAAACAACCGGACTCTAGTCCGCTAAAATAGGTGGTCTCGGAGGCTTGCTTGCGATCTCTGGAGCGGTTCATTGCTGGTGTGAACGCAGTCCGCACCAAAACATAGGAAGCGTAGTATTTACATGTCACAAGAACGCAGATATCTTCAAAATCAAATCTTTAGCGAAAGAGTCTTTCAAGACATCCGCGGTTGTTTAGTTAAAGAGTGAAGCAGAATGAAGTGTTGAACAGTGTTGTGTAAAGTAAAAATTCTTCGTCAGCTACATAAAAGTAAGAACACCTGTCGTCGGTGAAACGCCCCTCCTTACTGCAGAACATCTCTCATTATGTGTTATAATATTTTTTAACGGACGTTGTTTGATGATAATCATATGCGCGGGCCGCTAGAGTCTGTTGCTCTCCAGATTAACAGCAGCATGAGAATAACCTGCCGATGCTCCATGCCGGAGTCTTCGTTAGAAATTGCCGGGAATTGCGTTTTTACCCCCTTAATGTCTGACCAATGGTTGAACAGTATTTCCGTGTACATGACTTGTTTTAAAGTTTATAGTCCGTTTGAGTTTTGAGTTTTTGCCTGTGTGAACGCAAACCGAAGCTTCTGAAAAATGAAACAATGTAACAAACTGTCGTCTGGTGCGCACCAGAAAACTGACTTTTAGGTGTGAATGCACCCTCAGTCATGATCACTGTAAAATAAACAAACTGATAGAGTTATGAATCAGTTTTAGGTAATTCAGCATGCTTAAAAGATTTAAATGTAATTTGGGTAGATCTGTAGGTGAATTCTAAAATAGTTTAAATATGTGTATAATATGCGTCATTTCCTTTAAAATATGATAATTACTATAGAAAAGATTAATACTAGGCAACATAAAGGCGTGCCTAAGTATATTTTCCACTTTTTAAGCGATTAACTGCAGGGATTGTGTGTTGGGATTTAAGCCCCGCCAAAATCCAGTTGATCTACACTAAACAATGCCCCTGAATGCATCATTTGTATGCGGATTTGGAGAAATAATCTGCTCCTGTGCAGCTCACACTTTAACATGTAAGCATAAGGATCTAAATATATTTTTCGATATCTGTTTGAAACATTTTACAAATAATTCAACCAACGTTACTGTTGACCTTGAAAATAGTTGTATATGCTTCTTTATTAGTAGATGGATCTTCACTGGCAAGGAAATTAATATTTGCAACTGAGCAAACTTCATCAACCAATGAAAAAACAAAAAATGTTGTGGATTTTGAAACTAGTTTAGGAAGTCCAATAATGTGACTAATGTTTCAGTACAAAATATGTCACTTTTAGGGAAAAGTCAACTATGTATTTAATAGACATAATAATTATGGGTTGGAAATAACAAATTGCCAGAAAATTACATGCTTGCATCATGGCCTCAGGTGCCCTCGTCCTTTCTCTTTGTTTGAATTCCTTCTTTGACGCCTGCTGACCCTTTCCATCTTCATTTGTTTCTCTAAATTCCACTCTCCCAGTAAACGCCTCCTCTTTGTCCCCCCCTACTCTTCCCTCTATCACAATCCCTTAATATCAGCGAGAAATTTCCATGAGAATAAAATATGCCTCCCCTATATTTCAACACCATCACTGGGAATAATTTACATGTAACTGCTGCAAATTGCATAATGTGTCCGTTTGGCTGCTGTCTAACTTAATATGCGGTGGATTTGTATTCATCTCTTCAGCATAATATTGCTATTCACATTCTGATGTAATCGGGAACACCAACACAGTGTTATTGATATGGCTGTCATATTTTCACAGTGTTGTTTTGACAAGGGCTGTTTTTTCCAACTCACATATTCAGGCACAAGGGACAGGAATGCAGCAATACATATCTGCATGCTTGTTAACACATACAATGCCATTCCAAGGTTAATATAACCTTTGAGAATAAAGAAATTTACACTGCCACTGAATGTCACTGTAAGCAAGTAGTAAATAGTGTTATTTAAAAAACCTTGCTGGCATTTAGAAAGTTTAATTTGGCCAGTAAACTCTATATATCTTGTCCCTTGCAAGCCAAGATTCAAGATTAACACTTTATTGTCCAATGTTGTGGGACATTTCGACTGGGATTTGACCAATGTTGCATCAATAAAACACATCCTAAAGAAAGCCGAAAAACAGCTACAGAAATAAATCACAGAGCATAATAGTTAAACAGAAATAGCTGCTCAAGAAGATTAAAAAACAAACATATGCTGCCTCTGGAAAAACACTCAATCACCAATTAATACGTTCGAAAAAACAGGATGCATTTCATACAGTTATGTACCATTAATGAATTTCAAACATAATCTGTAAAAGCCTGTTAAGCCCTTTGTGATGCTGGCAAAAATATGTTGCTGCTGCTAAACGCTAAGCATCACCATAAAGCAACTCAAAAAGTAAAAGTGATCTTCTTTAACATCTCTGAAAAGATTTTCCCATATTAACCAATGGTCTTTTCGATAGGTCTGTATTCCTTTTTTGGGTTTTTTTGTGTAGGTAGTTACATTTGTATAATACTTCTGTCACCTGTTAGATGAAGCCAGAACATGAAGCCATTAGGAGGTGCAGATGTGTAGTTTTCAGTAATTCCACAATGCTGAGAGCTTAGTACTGCCCAATGATGCAAAAACACGTTGCCTATCTCATCTTTAGGTGATTTCTGAACAATAGTTTGGTAAGTTTAAGTAATTTTCAATGTAGCCATTTGTATCATAGTTTCTATTTTATAAATCTACATTTGCAAAAAACTAAGCTAAAAATGTAAGTGTATTTTGTCATTTTTTTTTTTATTGATCTGAATTAAAACTGGAATCAACCAATATGTTCTCCGTTTTGACTGCAGCATGCTGGACCGTTAAAAGGAAAATACACGGCTTTGTGAAAATGTTTATTGATTATATATTAGTTCGCCAATATTGAGTTTAGTTGCTTGGTTCTTGTGAACTGAATGCTAATTTAATTTATTGAGGTAAATTGCTAATGCACTGTGGTTTGTTCCAACCAAGCCTATATTTATGGTATTAAATGGTTGCTGCACTCTCGTTTGGAAAGAGGGGGGCCGGCCGCCACTGGTGGTCATGCAAGTTCATCGACAAATGGATGATGTGAAAAAGTGCTTGTGCTTTCACGGCGTCACTGCAATCAGTCACTAAAGCAGCTGAGTTATCTGATTAACACTGCTTTAATGAGAAGAGGAAGTAATCAGGGAAATTAGCTGCAGTGACTTGATAGTAAATGAGCTCCTGTAAACAGAAAGATTATGGGACAGCGTTAGAGCTGTCAGAGCTGCAGGAGACACACTGTAAAGCATGGGCTTTTCACAAACCACCTCATGAAAGTCTGGGGTTTATCTTAGATTATCTTCTGTCCTGGTCTTTTTTCTCAAGTATATTATATGATTATGTTTTTATCACTTACAAATGCAGCATATAAGAACTTTTAAATGTTGTAGTTTGACAATGTTTAGCAAAGTTTAGATTTTATTTTTTAATACAATGGGTACAGTACCGATATATATTAAATCTGTCATGTGTTTTTCAATGTCAAAAGTATCTAGTAACTTTGAGCGTAATTTAATACAGTGGAGTAAAAGTATATTATTTTCCTCCAAAATGTAGTGGAGTAGTAAAAGAAAAGTTAAAAAATAGCATGAATTGGAAATAATCCTGTTAATTATCATAAAAGTACGACAAAATAGGACTGTTAAGCCCGAGAGACCCCGGTACCGGGGCCCGCTCGCAACATTTTGCAGGAAACAGTGTCTGAGGGCATGTTCATTTAATAAACTATAAATGTTTTATATCCATGTAACAGGAAGAAACTCATCTAACTGATCATTTTTATTTTACACCAGATTACCTTTGTTAATTAAACGACATTGATAGGTTTAAATTGTGCACAATGCTTTTGTGTTTTTCCCCTTCAATTCTGAGAAACAACTTGTTTTCTCGGAAATGTGGAGCGCCAAAGAGACTACACTACCCACAATCCCTAGCTATTGTTGTGATGACGCCTGTCCGCTTTGCACAAACCCCGTGATTAATCTTCAAGGTCTGGGATTGGATGTTGGAGTGGCAGTGTGCCAAGGTTCTGTCTGTGATGTTTTACAAATCAGATATTAATGTGTAGAAGTAAAACATGAGAAATAGTATAGCACTATCCTGTAAAATTATGTAAAAACATGAATACAACTGCATATCTTCAGATGTTATACATACATAAGTGTCCTACACTAATAATACAAAGTTATTATTATTATTATAATACAAAGTTATTATTAGTATGCTGTGTGTACCTTGTGTGCACCGCCTAGTGGTTAAAGCATGTTATTGAATTATTTGTGTTGAATAATGTTTAAGTTTTTCATTCATTGCATAACTACACCGTAGTTGTGTATATGATATGTCAATAAACCTTAGAAAATCTTGAAATCTTGAAAGGGGATGTGCAAAATAGCAATTAACAGTTTTCAATTAACTGTTAGTAGAGAATAACGATTAATGAATATACTTTATAGAGATCTGCAGATAAATGTTTATTCTTCTCAAGCACCAACTATCAAATATCTCTTCTGATTGTTGGCACTTGACAATCACCTTTCCTGAATTTTACTCAGGTGTAACTAAAGTCTGATTTAAGGGTTGTTTATATTTCAAATCATTAATCAGAATCTGCAAAGTAACTAAAATAAATGTAGTGGAGTAAAAATACCAGGTTAACCTCTGAATTGTAGTGGAGTAGAATTACAAAGTAACAATGAGCTGTCATGTGGGTATATATTAATGCTGCCCATTATGGATAAAAGCGATTTTCACCCATTTAGTAATTATATGTTTTAAATCTGTACACACTAATGTGTTTCCTATTGCCTAAACCTCCAGGGCTGTACACAGTTTAATACTGTCAACTTCTAATTTTGGGAAAACCGAAAACGTCATTTAAAACTACAATTCCCAGTAGAGACGTGCCATAGAGAACATGTTGCGAAACACAATAGCCAGCATGTGTAGTTCTGGGGGGATGTTCGAGTCCAGTTTTGAATAGTCTGCCGTGGTTTCGTTCCATTTCAAAGAGCTTGACGCTCGGCGTAACCTTGGCGCATTGCCACTCCAACATCCAATCCCAGAGCTTGAAGATTAATCACAGGGTTTGTCAACGGGACTCTAGTCCCAAACGATAGCTGGGGATTATGGGTAGTGTAGTGTCTTCGGCCATCCTCAACTGATTTTTTTTTCGGATATCATATCGCATTAACAACACCACATCTGGCGTCACAGAGATCTGTGGCTGCGAGGGAGTGCGGTCGTCTTTCAAGTCAACCAGAAGGTTGTGGGTTCGATCCCAGCCCATGCAGTCAACATGTCGATGTATCCTTGGGCAAGATACTTAACCCTGAGTTGC